AGACCGGATTAACCGCGGGGGGACAGGGGCTCCCGCCGGCGAGCCGCCTGCCGGCGCCGTCACCCGCGCCCTGCCCCGTAACTCCGCGCTGCACAGCAAACGATCGCAGGGTCGAATGAAAAAAGCCTGCGGCTGGATGGATGGCAGGCAGCAGCGAGGCAGGGCAAGGCGGCGAGCACCAAGATAAAACCTTTTAGCTGCAAGATGAGCGTATTTCATCTACATTAGTGAGGAATTACTTACAAACGTTGAATTTTCCAACGCTGGTTTTAGAGTCAAGCTACAGCCTAGAGCAGTGCCGATGGCCCAGCAAGCATTTGCTCACAGAAATAATTTTTCCATGTAGTTGCTCTCCTTAGACAGAGCCTACAGAGAGACGACAATGCCCTCCAACTGATGCCTTTAAACGATCTCAAAACCCTCCACATACTTGGTTTCCAATAAACTTTTAATAGCTGTCTTTAATGATTTGAATGTTGACTGAGCAGCAAGCTAAAGAGACTGAAGAGTGACCAAATAGTGATAATATGACTCAAGGCGGCAGAAGGAAAGAAGGATTTTCAGTGCATCGGCAGATTCAGATTGGCAGGTAGGCAGCATGTCACCTAGATCCAAGTCCCATCCAAGGATACATCCAATAACCAGGACTCTTGTGAGCTTTGCCAAGTGGATGAGCCTGCAGATTTGGGATCCTTCCATCAGCCTTTTGTGACAATTAAAGACACTGTATGTGCCTAACGCAAAGGCAAATCCAGAGCCACTCAATGCTGTCAGCGGAATTGTTAGTCCACATGTCTAACTGGAGCATCAAAATATCTTCATTAGTATGAAGATATTCAGTCATTCTCTTCCTCTATGTCATTACTGTGAAATTTCTAATTGCAGTGATGCTAGAGCCAATGATGTTAGGTCCAAAGAAGGTTAAAAAAAGCCCTCATTAACAGTTCATTTCAGTCTTTTTTTTTAGCACTGTTATTGCTCTTCTTTTGGATTTCAGACTACCTAGTCTAACAGTCCAAGTGCAACAGGGGAGGACAGGGAGGCACTAGTTTATATGAACCAAGCATGCCATGGTCCAAGATGAGTAGAAAATTCTAGAGGCGATACCAAAAGCAGCAGAGCCCTTGGCATACTATGGAGAATGCATAGTGTCCAAACAGTTGAGAAACGTTCCTAGTAGCCTTTTTTTTAACTGTTCAGTCAGTCCTCTCAAGCAAATGCCTTAGGCTGGACTAAGGACCTTAATCCCTGCAAATCACAAATAGATTGACCGGGATGTATCATTACTTAGCAATGCAGAAATCTCCTTGTGCAGAAAGCCCACAGTGTCCAGTTTGATGGATTGTGGAGGGGTCTGCTATTTCTTTCTTGGAGATTTTCTGGGGTATTTAGACAATGACTTAAAACCCGATGTATACATGTTGAAGGATTCTTGAACAACAGCTAACAACCTTTAATAATAGCGACTCCATAAATGTTATAGATGTTGACAGAGAATATGACAGCTTAAAAAATGAAAAAAAAAAAGAGCCATACTTGTAAGCAAAAGTGGGGAGTCTGTGCTTTTAGAACTCCGCATATGCTCTGCTAGGAGAAAATTTTGAGATGCTTACCTAGGGAGTTCAATCTCCTTCATGTCCGACGATCTCAAGAACTGCAGGATTTGGCAGGAAGTCAGGCCAAATAGCTTTCATGCGTGAAGTCAAACGCAGACCAGATGCTACACTTTTCACTGCAGGCATTTATTTCTCATTAGTATTTTCTCAATAAAACTCTGTTGCTTATCACAGTACAACTTCATACCCAACTGGTGCAAGATGCTGTATTTACTTTCTCGTAACTCATTTTCACTGCGTTAAGCTGTCTCTGGAAGCATTTTGCATCAGGATTCTCTGCATTCTTACATTAACCTGCTCAGCAGCTAGAAATGGATCTTGCCATTTTTCTCCGATTGCCTTAATGAAGAGCACAACATGGCCTGCTATTATCTGTTGTATCTTCCTCTAAGCTGCTGGTTTTGTTAACTTTGAGTTATCAGGCTTATAAGGTTTTGAGAATTTTCTACTCCCACTGATAGCAAGAGAAAATGAGGACAGCAAGCATTAGGCTAATCCAATTCTAAATTTAACAAAAAACCCTCATGTTTTTCTTCCATCCTCATCCATCAGTCACTTAGAAGTATAGGCACGGGCTTTCAGCTGTAATCCATCTTCCTTATGTAACACAGCCAGAAAAGTCCATCTGGAGACCCCTCTGGCATGGTAGAAAAACTCCACATGGTTTAGCACTAAACCAGCTGACTTTTCCTCTGCTCTGCCTCCTTGCCAAGTTGTACTTACCAGATTTGAAAAGCCTGTGTGAAGAGATACGCCTTATTCGGATGATAAAGAATGGCGCGACACAATGGGTCTCTCAGCAAAGCAGGGCTGTGCTCACTCACCTCAATGTGGGCCACCTTTAGAGTGTCACCATCAAGAATCCTTTAAGGCTTTATAGCCTTTGAGTGAGACAAACAACAAAGGCTCAATAACACCGGACCTTAAAACAAAGTGATTATGTATCTTCCTAGTCATCTTGCTCTTGTAGTTGTACGCTACTGCATTCACTGGCTTTTGCATAATACTGTTACTGTGTGAGCTAGGGAACAACAACAAGGTGGGCAGTAGTTTTACACTGTTCTGCAGTGATGGAGCCCAGCATCAAAAGGTGTAATATACTCATTCTGCTGCTGGTGGTCAGCAGTATGTGGGAATGCCAGGTATTTGCAAATCGTGAGGCTTCATCAGTATTTCCTGAAACATGACTCTTTAAAAAAAATAAATCTACAGGCATTTTGAAAACAACTTCATCACATCTGTCAGTCCTCCTCCATTTCTGCAAGTGCTTTTGTGGATCCTGATGTCTCAGCAATGTTTAACAGATGTTATTATGGCGGCTCCTGCTTGTAGGTCTGGACTTTGATCTCAGTATTTTTGCTACAATGATCTCATTTGCTTTTCTATCTCACCAATGTGGCGAAATTCTACAGTGACATGCCCCTAAATTTAACATTTCCATTGGCATTGAAAAGATGGGTTATGTTTTTAACAAACCACATCTAAGGTTTGAATGATAGGAAACAGGTGATATCTATTAGTATTCCCCTGATAAAGGGCTGGTCAGTTCTGAAGTCATGAGCCCCGCTCTGCTCTTTCATCCTATTAAATATCATTTATAACTGCCACAGACTGAAATGGAAGCTTGCAGGTTAAGTTTGTAGGAAGGGTCTTTTAAAAATTTAGGAAGTAGCACTGTAAGGAAACTCCTTTGTTTTCTTTGTTTGGATTTATTGTGGAACAATGAAATGTTCCTCCAATTATTCCAACTGAATAATTCCAATAATTAAAGATTGTAACTTTTGTAAAGACTTCTGGATCTACAAATGTTGAATCTAATGGAAAATAATTAACAGACAAAAGCTAAAATTGTCAAAAAGGACTGCAATTTATATTTGTGCTAAATAAAATGAAGAAAAATAGGAAAGCAGCAATTAGAAATATTATCTATGCTTGTATACATAGATATAGGAGAAACTGATGATGGAAAACACAAAGAGTAAAGGGATAATGATTCCCTTGATCCCACCTGATGTTTCTACCTCAGTACAGGAAAGATTTTTAAAAAAACCAAATTCTTTCTGCATTTGAAAAGAAGGCAAATAAAGGGAATGTTAGATGTAGAGAGAAATCAAGCTCTGCTTTCTCTCTCTCTTTTCAGAAGCAATTTCATTTATTTAAGAACCAAGAGACAGAATTTTTATTCCCCTCTGGCTTGACACGTTTGTACAGTAGGTGGCAGTAAGAAACCTTATCAGTTTAACCCGTTGTTAGCAAAAGGGGTGGTTCCACTGCAGTGGGATCTCTCTTGGTTGTCACAGTCTGACTGAACTGAGTTGTTATCAGATTCCTCACCCACATACATTTTTTATTTGGTCTTGGTCAGTATGGTAGTTCTCAGAGTATTATTATTTGCTTATCAAATAAGGTAACACCTGCATAATCACAGTGTATGTACCATTTCAGTAACAGTGCTAACCCTACCAATGTGCACCAATAACATCCTATGCTAGGACAGTTAGGCCCAGCCAAAAACTAGGCATCCCTTCCCCAAAAGTTAAATAAATAGGTGCATACTCACAGCTTTATTTTAAGATTAAAATCTTCCCTGAGTTGTTTTTTTTTGTTATTTTTTTTTTTTTTCCCTAAACTAAGGTCATGGGTGGGTGAATTCTCCAACAACTTAGCTGAGAAACATTAATCAGGAACAAATATTTAAACATGTAAGATGTCTGGATCAGGAGAAAAAGTAGCATTAAAAACAGTGGGTCTTCAGACACTGAGATCAACATCTTTATCACCAGCTCTGCTTGAACTATGAATCAGATATTTGTTAATCTTAGCTACTTGAGGAGTTTAGTTAAACATGATGTACTTTTTCTACTACACAGGAGCACTGCTCCTGTTGTGGTCACACCAGCAGCACGGTCATCCCATGGGTCAGCCCATGTCCCATCACAAGTTAACAGACAGGGCAGCAGTGGTGGTCCTCAAGCTCAACTAGGACCCCCGCAGGGCTGGCCCTGCCCTCCCAGCAGCAGCTCATACCGGGAGACTTGTGCAGCACCACAGGCTGGCGACTTTATATTTTTTTTTCCCTGACACACACGCACCACAAAAGGAACATAACTCTCCTTAATTTACTGCATTTTCCTGTGTACTCAGGATGTGTCACCTGGGGATTGTTTACTTTCGATAAAATAGAATATGGAAGAGTTTTATAGTTACTGCCTTAGTTTTACAAGTTGCATGCAGTCTGACACAGTTCCTAGAAACAACAGGATGGGACTTTGGGAAATATTTTCCACGTCAGGGAAAGGAATGCTGAAAAGACCATGCTGTGGTTACAGACCAGCCAAAGGGTGCACATGTTTCTTTTTCTTCTTTGCAAAAACATTAGCTTTGAAACTCCAGTTTCTCAGTAGTGATTTCCTCATACTTTTAATTCAGGGCCTACTTTAAACCTCTTGGGACTCAGAGAAAAAATAATTGTCACCAGCTGAAAGTAAGTAATGAAGGAACATTTGTGAAATACATCAGTGTAAAAAAAAAAAACCCCCCCCCCCAAAAAAAAAAAAAAAACCACACACACACAAAAAACCAAACCACCAAACAGAACCAAACCAAACAACCCCATACAGAATTATTTCCTGTTTTTCCTGAAGTTATTCTCCAGGCAACAATCTCTTCTGGTAGAAAACTGAGCACAGAGAGGACTGAACAATTTTGTCCTGGAGAATGGCTTCACATGTATCATTAGAATTCAGTTGCTGTGTATAACCTTTTTACCCTCTCCAGCTTTTCTCCCCACTTGGTGGGTAAAGGTACAATATACCATGGGAAATGATGGCTTGTGTAACCACTACTCACACAGTGCAATGGGTACCAGATAGCATCAGTGTCTTTGACTTTTCCATCTTTTCAGACTGAAGCATGTTGCTTCAAAACGAAGTAACAAATCACAGAAGGTGTAAAACACCTAAAAGATTAAACATATTAACCATAAGGTATCATTCTGAAACTCATATGCCCAAAGATATAGTTATGAAGTGCAGAGGTTAACCTCTCTTTCCACCCTTTCTACCCAAAATATAAAGCTCAACGAAATGAACAAGTCCCACACAACTATGCATGAAGAAATGTGGCAGTGAGAACCCTGGCTGCCTGACACTGACTGACTTACTCAGCAGAGAAGCGGACCAGACAACTGCATTCAGTCATCCTGAAGTGCCAGGGTCGAGTGCCACCTCCACAGCAGGTGTCTACAAGTCAGGAAGAAAAACAACAGGCACATTTGCTTTGACAGATACATACAGCAGCAGGAGGAACATCCCTGTGTGTAGAATACAGTCCTGATTTGCATTTACTGTCTTTTATCTGTTCTTCTAGATAGAAGACTCTAGATCCTTCTCAGTATCTATTCTTCTAGTGATTTTTCCAAACCATTCAACATTATTTGAAGCTCCAGCATGTGTTTTTACCGATAACTATTGTCATAAGCAAATGCTTCTCTGCCGTTCACACCAAATACTCATCCAGCTATATGTGCATGGTGGTTGCCAGCCCATCTTCCACACACTCACTGCTATGACTATCCATTCTAGTGTGGTTTCACCTACCTGTGCTGCAATTACGCCTTCATTTTGCTCTGCAGACATGTTCTGTGCCACTAAAAATGCTCTTCGTGAGAACTGAGCGCAGATAGCTTGAGAAACTGCACAGGCTAGTAAAAAACAGGAAAAGGCCTCTTATCAAATTAGTAACATCTCGGATGTTTGGGTGGAGGCATTTGGCACTGGGCTTGCGTATTCTTACAGGAGTGAATCCATGCATACTACAAACTCCATTCCTTTGCTTCGTATTATTGTTCCCAAGTCGAGGCATGTTTCAAAAGACCTTCTCTAAAGATGTGTAAGTGCACAATTACTTCATGCTATATATATCAGTAAGAAGGGATTTTACCCTATCTCCTTTCCACACATGTAAAAATAAGAATAAATCAAGTTAATGGTATTTACACAGATTTGTGCTGCAACAGGATCATTGCAAAAACTAAAATAGCTATTTCTTTTGTACCTTTGCATGCAGAGCTATGGGAAACAACTAAGAAAATTTGGAAAACTTCACTAGTGAGGGAAAATGACTGCCTGGGATGACTGACTTCTGCAGTAAGCACTAAGTGTGGGACAGTTTGTCGTTCCTGCTACTTGGAATAACCCATCAACTGCTTGAGTGGGTAATACTATCATTTATTTCTTTGACCTTGAACCAAACTAAAACAATTTCCATGTTTTAGATGCTATATATACTTTCTGGTGTATAGCAGTGTATGTCAGGTACACATACACACACTTCCAGTTATACTTCAGTGTGATTAACATTACTCAGTAGAACAGTTTTACTACCTGCATACTCATCTTAATGTCTGCCACTCAGCTTGGATTCTTTTAATCCCTTCATCTCCAATAAAAACAATCTTGTAGTGAGATGGTAAGCAAGACACTGATACATGCCTCAGAAGAGAATCAAGCTCAAGGTGTACTGATGCTGAAGGGGAAGCTGTGCTCCATTTAATGGATGACGACATTTTTTCCAAGTGGTGTAATGAAAGCTAACAAGTTCCTGCTCGACTTGGTGCCTGTCAAATTTAAACAACAGGTGTGAGTAAAAAGCATTTCTTGTACGGACAGCTGGTGTTCTTGTAAATTCTCACACAGGAAAAAAAATAGAAACTAAGAGAAATCCCCGTTGTCCGAGAAATGCATCTATAACTGAAACAAAGTGACACACTTAGTTTTGCTGTTCCCACTGCAGTGGAGAGAGTAATTTCTTCATTACTGTTTCAAAGGCAAAACAGACATGGGGAAAAGAGGAACCGGGAAAACAGATTTCAGACCTTTCTGGTTTTACTGTAGTTTAAATAAGGAGTCTGTAATCTCCCACCTTTAATACAGTATGCAGGTGTTCTACTCAGATCAAAAAGAACTGTTCAGCGCCTTTGAACATCAGTCTCTTTCTTTAGAAACTGAAATACAGCATTGCAATCCTCACCGGGGACAGCCATTTGTTTTTCAAACCTACATACCAAATGTCACAGCAGCTAAAGGCTCAGCAGCTTTGATGCAAGAGAGAACTTCTCATTGTGCAATGACTCCATAAAGCTCGATTCTACAACACTGAGACTTTGCTCTAATGGAACTGTTTGCTTGACTAAGGCGTAGTCAAACAGGCAGGCCGTAGCTGTGTAGACTCTGTATATGTGTATGCCCAAAGTTGTATATGCACTTGTGTGGTTTGGTAAAATGACCTTCTTTAAAACAACTTAGCTAAAATGACACAGACCCCTATACAATCTGCACTCTAATTTAAACTTGGATTTTACTGATTTTCCTTAATTAAACCCGAACTGTTAATAGCAAGTGAATCACAAAAACAATGGATCCAGAGTAAACCCTTCCTATCAGCTCTTTTGCTAGCTGTAGTGCTCCTAATGCTAGCAGCACATCCACTGATGGGGAAGCAGAGGGAGGGGTCAATAACCTAATTGCTCAAAATGGCAATAATCTCTGCTTCTCCTCCAGACAGAAACATACAGGCCCGTGTGTTTTTTACTTCAATTTACAACAGTAAGTCTCAGCACAGAGCACCTCCCATGGATTAACAACCAGTTTGGGTCCCTTGGGCTGCCTCTCGTATCCACAATCCTTCCCACCCAGTTGTTAATCTCCAGGAAATAACTTGCACTCAGAGATGTGAATGTAATAAAAGCACACATACATTTGCTACATGTTTGCTAACTGCTGAAAAGCAGCAAAAAATGGTGGTTTTGTCTTTTTTTTTTTTTTTTTAAAGTGTCATAATTTCCTGGTTAAGGTAATTGATAATAAAGTCCTAGTATAGAGAAATTTAACCCAGATTCTGCCAGTGTGGTGAGAAACACTGAGAGAAAGGATTTTTATTGATTCTTACAGAAAAAGTTCCTGCATATTGTACTTTAAACCCAGATGAGGGGTAACAAAGATTTTGCTGCTACCTGGACTTTGCCAGCCACCTTCCTCTGTGGCAGAGGAATGCGGTGGCTGCAGGAACACAAGCAGAGGCTACAGGAGCCGGACAAGGCATAACTACATGGTAGCATTTAGAAGAGGAGGATTCATACTTCTGTAGATCACATTCATGCTGTCTATACCCTCCCGACTGGCCTTTAGCCCTTGTGCACAATTCTATCTTATCACTCCCCTTTCAGCTGCTTTCTCGCCTAGTTCTTCTTCTAGATACATTTTTTTTTTTCTGGACAGCCTGCACAAATTACATCATACCTTTAGCCTATTTTATAGTCTACGTGTGTACAATAAACAAATAAGGAAGTAGTACAGCAATCCAGATTAAGTGGAAAGAAGTCTGGCAGGCTCCTCCTTGCTGGCTACAGAAAACCATAATCCAGGAAAGATTTTGAAGCATTTTCCCAGGCTATTTCTCCAACTAGTACTGTTGTCAAGAGAAACATGCAAACTATTGGTGGACCTGCAAATAAATGCTCTATTTTTAAACTGGAAACTCACAGAGATCTCCCTGTTAGCATCAACATCAGTGTGTCCTAAGCAAGTTAAAACAACTTACCAGAGCTTTGCAGTTGCACCTTCCTAATTATTCTTTCACAAATTCTACTGTAGAGACACCAGACCTGCGTCATTTTCCTCAGTAGCATGGACAACTATCACTAGCAGGTTTTATCCAAAGAAACACTGTTTGCCACGAGCTTTGGCTGAGACAGATCACACAGACACTTCCTTGACATTTCTGCTTGAATCTCAGGGCAAAAAAATGAAAACATCAATGAAAGAAATAATCCCGAGAAGCAGATCATGGTCAGACCCTGGAACAGAAGGCATTCAAAATACTTTGCAGGACCATGGCCCCAAACACATTACATCCTTTTATACCCATGATCCATATATGCTTGCTGTACACAAATGAGAGAAATGTTCCCACAACCATGCATGCCAGTATGTTATGACATGTGGTAGTGTCAGTTGCAGCTAGGTCTGCAGGACTTTGTTTTGTTTTGGCTCTATTTTTTTTTTTTTTATGAAAAAGATGCTGTTTAATCTTTATCCAGCCATTCCTCAAATGAGCAATGAGACAGGAAGAAACCAATGCTGAGGTGTCCTTAAAGGCCATAATATTCAAATCCAAAATACTACGTAAGGTCCTTTCATTTCAGCACATTATGAGTCAAGAAATAACAAATGGGAAGGAATATTTTTTTGTGTGTCTGTAAGACTTCTATCTGCTTCTGTTTCCCATTCTTTCTGCTCTCATATAAATTATCTAACTGGGATATTTAGATTGCTCACTAAGCTGCTGTCATTGTGAGGGGTACCCTGCATTTATGCAATTCTCAGCAACAGCTTACAAATTGGCAAGGCTATGACTTACAGAAAACTAGATAGGTTCGCAACTGAAGCCAAGCAGATTATGCAAACTTGTACAGATTTTCCATACCTTGGAAAGAATACAACACACACTGAAGACAGTAAGCTACACAGCTCCCCTCTATTAAAAGGAACTATTCCTGTGTGCATTTTTGAAAAAAAACCCAAAACCTCCATGAAGATAAAAAGCATTATCCTTATTTTCTCTCATGATTTGACCTTGTTGCTGCAATTCCCACTTACTCTTTCACTGATGCTCCAGTTTTATTATTTAAAAACTCAGAAATAATAATAAAAAAAACAGCAAAATGAACACCTGAGGAAAAAATACTATTTTCCCAAGTGCTGAGCCATGTAAAAAGTATTTCCCCCCCCCCTTGTTTTTAAATGTTTTAGTTGGCTAATCACTTTCTTCTTACTTTCTTCTTTTGCTGCCACTAACAGACTACAGCAGTCATAGACAGCCCAGTGTAACAAATATTCCTACAATATTAACAGTACAGCTAAGTTTGCCAACTTAACCCAGATTTTGAGTAGCACCAATGACAGCAGAAATTGGTTAATATGCACAACACCTTACAGATTCAGATTTCTCACTCAGATGCTAGAGCTCTGAGAGGCACTGCTTTATAGGTGCAGGCTACTGCTTTAGCCTTGTTTCTTAATGAAAAGGGACTTGTATGTTTTTCTTATCTCTGTCTATCATCCCATTCAACAACTCTTGAACTGATTGACTGGTTTCAACCACACAGAACTCTAAAAGGAAAATTACGTTTCTGCAAGTTTTGTGAAGGTAAGGAACCATTAAGATAGAACGAGCATGCCTATGAGCATCCTGATGGAAGGAAAGGCACACCCTGCAGCATGCCTTGCATATTATTAGACATCAGAGAAATCCCATGAGGGAGCAGGAGACAACACAAATGCCTCAGCATCTGGAAAAAAAATTCATTGGAAGTTTACAACCAACCATGAGACATGAATCTGCAAGAAGGCAGGTTTTGCCAGTTCTGGTGTTCTCAGAACTACTCATTTCATTGAGAGAGGACAACTCACAACACCACCACGACAATTACATAGCACGGCTGCACAATAATGGTATATTTCAAACTGCCAAATGTGTTTTTGCATTGAAGAAAAGGGTGAGTACTCTCCAAACCAAGACACATACCTTGAGGAATGCTGAATGATGCAGGGTTCTGTAATTTAACATTTTAGAGTTAACATTTTGGGCAAAGTAGCTGCAAGAGGGAGAAACTCCCATTTGTTTGGAATGGGGTTAAATCAG